TTCTCTTCTCTTCTCTTTTCTTCTCTTCTCTTCACTTTTCTTGGGATTTCAATCATTTCTTTCAAAGATGTCAAATGATATGCTCAATTCAATTTTCAATTGCTAGGTGTGGTGAGGTATAAGTGCGCGAAAAGGTTGGGGCAATTGGTTATTGTTTTGTTTATCTTAATTTTTCGGATTTTCCTGCTTTTTGTTTCGATGACTTTTTGATTTTTTTCTTTGTTTTGAAGGCTCAACTAATCTTCGTTCTGATACAGCTGACACATATATTTTAAAAAATGGGTCTTCGGGGAATCGTGTTCTTATTGGCTACCGCTATCGTGATTGTCGCTCTTATTTCGCCAACTCATGCCACAACTGGTCCTTGGGGAGGCAGTGGAAGAAAGAGAACGTAAGTAGGTTTACCGCTAGCTGCTAGCCGCTAGACCTCAGACCCAGGAACACGCCCGCAAACACGGAGAAACTTTTCGGCATACGTTCGTGACACGGCAAGGGATACGTCAGACCAATCACAATGCACCAGAATTTACTCTCCATCCAATCAAATACCCGGAACACGGCATGAACACAGCGTGGACACGGTCACGCCAAGGTCACGGCAACGACCAATCATATTGCGCGTGAAAAAATCAGCCAATTAAAATTCTAGAAAGCATCACGGTCACGGAACATCACGCTTACGGCACTGAGCTTTTCACGCTCACACGAAAACCGCTCTAATCAAGATAACATTTAAAATCCGATGGTGATCATAAAGTTCTTGATGCTATCACTTTAAAATTGTGAAGTGCTATGACGTAAACATATCAATACGATACCGTTGTTATGGTAACACCATTTGTATGTACCTCGGTTGCCTTGGGGTATAGGTTGCTATCAATAGACGTCACTTCCGGTAATAGCTCTTTTTTGATGGCTTGTAGAATCCTGGAGGTTGTTTTGATCTCTTGTTTTCTGGTTTGATGTCGTGAAAATAGTCAAATACTTTAGTTTGAGGACTTATTCTGATATGTTTTGACTTGTTTTGCCCCCCAGTCAACCGCTTGTTTGCCCCCCAGTCAACTCCAAAAAAGTCACGTGATTGATAGTAAGCAATTGAAGGAAGGTAGAATTCTAACATCGATCGAACTATAATTGATGTGCGCGCGCTTATTGTTTTGATGTCGAAGTTTATATATCTCCTACGGTTGTAACAAGTTTTATATGTTACCCTGAAGATGACCGCGTAGATCGAAAGCTCGGTAAAATGAAAAAAGTATTGAAAGGTTGATGTAAAAAATCTAACCGAAGGAAGTTAAACCCAACCTACAAACACCTAATTGATTTAATATTAAGGAAGTTGGAGAAAAACTTTGAAAACATTGATTATTTATTCAGTATTTTCTCACACATAAGTCTTAAGGAAAAAAGATGAAATAAAATTTAAAAGTGGAATTTCTATCTACAGAATAACTAGTACTCTTCATCCACCATAACTGCAATAGTGGAGTTTAGTAGTTGATTTATGCGGTGGGAGGAAAACCGGAGAACCAGAGTAGAACGTGAATCGCATGGGTGAGAGGAATTTTCAGCTAAAAAATTGCTCATCTTAGCTCTTGATAATTTTGATAGTTCCATTGTGACGGCCATTGAATTTGCCGAAACAAACTTTTTTTGTTTAACTTATCTCTATCCGTAAAAGCGTCGGAAGGCTAGTTTGAGGATTTAGTTTTTTCGGTTAGAATTTTTGAACATTTGCACATCATTGCCTGTTATTCTGTTTTATAGTTTCGTGATGAAGGGGAGATAGAGATCTTTCTATTGAATTTTTTTTTCAGATACCACTTTAAGTACTGTTTATCTCCTGATGACGATTACAAAAGAGTATTGTACTTATATCAATAAAGATAAGATACGATAAAGAAAGAGACAACTATGACACCTATTTTGCTTAAGGCACCAGTTTTATAACCGATGTTTAAATTCTAAAAGATTCATGAACAATAAGTTCAGTCTTATCACATTTACTCGTCGCATCATTTTATCTCAAAACGTGCATGAGGGGGCGCTAGCTGGCAAAATGCGATCTGATTGTTAAGTTCCTATTACGTGATGAAACTTCGTGCCTTGGCGCTGTCTATGATGTCTTCAGCCGAATGTTGAAGAATTTTGGTCAATTTGAAATTTGACATACCAAGGAAACTGGTTAATTACGTCCTCGTTACTTTAATCCGCCCCTGCATCCACCTTTGTCCATAATATCTGCTATCAATTATGGTGGCGTGGTGGGATCAATTTTCCAAACCAATATGGCTGCATACCACGCGAAAAAAAAACAACAACAAAAAAAAAACGTGGGCCCCGTCTGTCTTTATTATATAACCCTGTATAAGGAGGTAATTAAAGAATCACCGAAGACGCTGGTGACGACCATCTTCGGTGCCCGTGCTAAACTCTACAGGGTCCACTGTAATTGGCAAAAAGCTGTTGTAGTGTCCCTGCCCTCACGGGAAAATTAGAGCTAATAAATAAAAAAATTTAAAATAAAAAWAATAATAAAAAAACTTTAAGAAAGCCAATGAACATTTGCCCCTGGTAGCCGTATTTTCGCAAAATTAATGCAAAAAAGTATCAAACGTATTGGATCTATTTAATGAAGATCTTATTTTAAATATTTTACAGATTTTCAAAGCTTAGCAGACCAGAAGAGGCAGAGAAAAGAAGAATGAATCTCTACGAACCAAAAATTCTACCAGAAATGTTCAAGAGATGGGAGATAATCGAACGAACGAGAAACGCACAAAGGAACAATGAATACCAATAAATTAGTGAATAATAAATGGTATATTAAAAATTGCAGCTATGCACAATGTAACGCTACAACTCGAAAGTCTTTAGGGGTGATCAAGAGGGATACTAGTAGAGACTGTGTTGTTAGGCCAACGTGGTAATATAAACATGAATGAAATGTTGAATTAAAAAGGAGAAAAAGGTTGTAATAAAGCACTCTTTGAATCGTTTATGGTTGGTAATAAATATGCCCAACTATGGTATTCTTGGTTTAGTTTTGTCATAGCTGCGATGTTGGTTGACTATAACGAAGCATTACTCATTAGCTTTCTTGTTGGATCAATAAACATGGCGGCTGTTTGATTGGCATCCTCGCAGGCTCCCATTCTTGGGGTGCATGTTACGTCATAGCCGCCATGTTGGTTGACTATAACAAAGCATTCCTCATTAGCTTCTCTTGTTAGATCAACCAACATGGCGGCTGTTTGATTGGYATCCCCCTATTCTTGGGGTGCATGTTACGTCATAGCCGGCATGTTGGTTGACGATAATAAAGCATTCCTCATTATAGCTTCTCTTGTCAGATCAACCAACAAGATGGTGGCTGTTTGATTGGTATCCTCCTATACTTGGGGTGCATGTTTCGTCATAGCCGCCATGTTGGTTGACGATAACAAAGCATTCCTCATTGCCATCATTTGTTAGATCAACCGACATGGCGCGGCTGCTTCATTGTTATTTATATCGCGAGGAATAAAGGATAACATGTTTTCACAGCGGTTAATCGTAGGAGCAAATAGACCTCAGGCTCGGGCGTAATGTTTCCCCATTTCAGACCACGCGTCATTTCCTTGAGAATAAGATTCTTTGTTTGAGTTGTATCCATGTAACATTGCGCCCGAGCCGAGGAGTTCTATTTTAAGGTTTGAACACTTTTCTTTTTTGAGAAATGAAGTCTTTTGTCAAGCAAAGTATATTGTCTTGTTCTTTCCTTGTCCTTGTATTGTGAAACAGTAACAAATGTATTTTGCGCTATATGGCTATCACTAAATGGTATCTCTTTTACTTTCTATTATATCATCAGTTCTACTTATAGTACTAGATAGTGCGAAATAGTCAAAGTAAATAATAACAAAATATACAAATACACATCTCTCCTACCATCCCTGCAATCATAGTCCATTATTCACACATCATATAATATTAATTTTTATTAACGAACTTATTATAGTAAGTCCTAATATATAACATTTATAATAAATCTCAAGAAGCATAGAAAAATGTTTGCGTTGGATGGTTGCTGTAGACTTGGCTTAAAAAAGAAGTGATTTAGAAAGTCTGAAAGAGCGCGCAACACACTTATTATTGCGCCGAATTAAAAAAAAGATGGGTGAAAAATATGATTAATTCGAACGTTAAATTTCAATGAAAAAACATGTACCTAAAAATGCACGTATTAAATCTGTATAAAAATACCCCATACAAACACGTAATTTAACTTAAGAATTCATCATCAAGAATTGTTAGTATACCTATAAAATATTCCTATACTGAAAAAATATCTTAGGACATTTAAGAACATTTGACTTATATTTTCTATGATAGTTTAACTAGACAAATGAAGTTAATTTTTCTTATGCAGAATGAGAAAAGGATCAAATATTCTGCATGCCCCATGCAATTAATCTTTTTTTCTTTTTCAAGTTTGAAAAGCTAGAATTTGACTTAATTTAAAAAAAGGCAACCTTAATTAGTTCTGTAAGAATACATTCGTTTTTTGTGTGTGTGCTTTAGTCCATTATTTGCAAAGGCTGCTGGGTATTCCAGGAGCCTACGTCAGTGGTAGGCCATACCCCGGATGTATTGTTGCAAATGTTTCTTAGCACAACTTCCGCTGTTGCGTCATCAAACGAATTCAAATCGGGCAAACTGGTTTCGCCGTCGCTTGTTAGATCCGAGAAGTTTAAATTGGATTCTAACATCTCCATTTCTTGCTCTTCACTACTTGACGAACCGGTTTGACCTGTTTGAAAGGCTTCTGGATTCCATAGGTTTTGATGGCCACCGTTCGTGTTCATGCCTTGATCAGCGTTCAGCAACGACGTAAGGTTTCGTCTTGCGGCAAACACAGCATTCTCATTGGTTCGTGAGCCATTGTTATTGACATCACCATGGAGAACACGATTTCGCAATTCTTTCAAGCCATTTAGGTGCTGGTTAGAGTTTGTAGTTTCCATGGGAGACGGGGTCATTTGCTGTACTCTATTGTCGGTTTGCGGAGTCAGAGGGTGAAACCGCTTGTCCAAAAGAGTATGCTGCGGGAGGGGAGGGACAGATTGGCTACGTTGGAACTGTGGTGGCACTTGACCTGCATTGGTGACTGTTGTATTGCAGATTGAATCAAGCTCCGACGAATAATCAAAGCTTTGTTGTTGGCTTAGCGGTGTTGGAGGCATAGTGCTATTGTCTGAACTGGTGCTGTATCTGCATGGACGAGAAGGGTCTGGACCACATCTAAAATAAAAGAATATAATAAAATTATATATGATCCATTATTTTAATATGACATAACGCTGAGTGACTTTTCAATCACGATGCTTGCTTCTGCCGGGAACCCTGAGTTTATAGGAAGACGTGATTCCATTACTTCTGATTTAGTTTCCTTGGTTTTATTATAGTTCAAAACCTTATCAATCGATTTAGCTTCGTAGCAATGTCTTCCCACTTCAGACGGCGTGTCATTCTTCTTAGCATTGGTTATTTGTTTACCAATGACGTGCGTTAAACTCAAATATAGAGAATCTTATTTCAGTTCCGAAGGTAAGATATTTGGTTTGCAATATGTCCAAACTGAATGGGTACATATTTCGAGTCTTACCGAATGAGTAAGAAACGCCCCAAGGGAATGACCTATGGTCTAGCCTAAGAAAACTTTATAAATTTTCCCGCGCAAAAGTTTGTGATGCATTCACAAGAAGAAAAAAAACATCAAATTTAATAACCTACCCTTGCTTTATCATTTGTTCTGTTAATTGAACTGTAGGACTACTGTCACTACCTCTGCGCATGCCATTCATGGGATCCTGAACCATTCCTCCCATTCCATCCTGACCTTGCATCATCACTAATTCCTGCCCCTTTTGTTGGATACTCGGTGACTGGGCATTCATCATGGAGCGTGGGGTATTTGGTGACATCATAGGCGGTGATGTGACGTACTGCTGGCTCGTCACGCGCTGCGGTGTCCTTGGTGAGGAAAGGGGGTATGGAAACGAGCTTGGGCGTCTTGTTGGAGTGGCTGGTGCACACTGCGACAAACGAGGTTGCTTACTTGGTGACATTGGTACCTCATTGAGGTTCATCTGGACTTGCTGTGTCCCTCCTGACGGCCAGTCTTGATTTTGAGGATGTGTTGCCGTGGGTCTTAAGGTTGGGGGACTCGTGTCTCCTTTGGGCGCTTTATGTTCGTTTGGTATCGGGGTGAACAGAAATCGCGTAGGCTCAATAGCATTAGAAGAATGTCTTGACTGGTTGACTCCAGAGCTAGGAGTCATGGGCCGATTCTGTGGTGTCCCTGGAGCATTAAACTTTGGCGATGCCTGAAAAGGCGACGTTGTCTGTGGAAGACCTTGATTCGGGCCGTTCGGTGACATCAAAGACGGAGTTGGCGGCCGCATCTTTTGATAGCTCGATTGTGGCCCAGTCGTTCCTCCTTGTAAATGGGCATTACTCGAGGCTTGCTGGTAAAACTGCATACTGCCTGATGAACCGGTTGGTGGCTTAGACTGCAAATGAACTTGTTGCTTGTGAAGTGGGCTCTGCTGCTGCTGCTGAGGCTGAATTTTTATTGGTGTCTTAGGAACAATTTGATTCCCTGAGCCATCGGTCAAAATAGTATGGGTCAGCTGCTGCTGCTTTTGCTGTCGTGGGTTTACGACTTTCTTCGTGAATGGTTGCTGTAATTGTTTTCTTTTAGGCGTGAGTATAATCTGGTTTTCGTGCTTTTGAGGTGAAAATAGTGAATTAGCTATGTGGTTGAGTTGAGGGTGGGTCACGTTGTCTGTGTTGGACATGACAACGAAAGCAGCCATGGATTTACTTGAGACGTAACTGCCACCAACGAGAAATCTTGCCAGCTCTATTAACGTCGTAAAGACTCGACCAAGGAGTTTGTTCGCCCATTCACATACCAAAAGGCAAGCTGCTGAAAGAGTCTGGTCTTCTTCGATTTTGTCGCCACCATTCATCCCATTGCCTTGGTTTGTGTTGTTCTATACGAAAGAGAGAGAGAAATTAAGTTCAAGTTTAAGTTAAACCGATTTTACTGCACCCAACCACCTCCGACCTCCGTTATTGACGTACTCGATAGATATCGAAATTCAGTGAAAAACCTAAAAGAGGTTGTGTGTGTGGTTGTGTAGGGGGAGGGGAGGAGGTAGGAAGGGGTCAGTTCAATCAAAAATACAACAATAAATTACTATGCGAATTCAAATTAAAATTCCGATTTCAAATCCTTTTTGTGCATTTAATATTTACCTTCTCTTTATCACTTGGCGATGGTATTTGAAGCGACGGTAGCGTTGGTGGTTTTACGTTCTTCTTTCTCTGAATTCCACTATAGCAGTACTTGGAATTCCCTCTCGTACCTAGTCTCCTGGCTTTTACGCGAGGAAAAACGCATTTGATGATTTTTCCAAAGTCGGGAGCACTAAGTGTTCTGGCGGCATTCATACTTTCACAATATGCCCTAAAACAAAAACATTTTAAAAAAACTGCTTAAATATTTACATAAAGACTGAGCAAAAAAAAGAGGTGCCAAAGATGCAGCCAAAAAATGCCAAAAAGGCGTTTGAGGTAAATTGTGCATTCATACTTTCAAAATAAGCCATAAACCAATAAAAATGATTATAAAACTTCTAATAAAATGTAATAAAACTGTATATCTATATGTATATGTATATATATATATACAAAACTAGAAAGATTCCAACTAACAAATTTATTTTTCGCGCCTCCAAACGGAACAGCTAATAAGGAGGAAGGATTTCATCACATGATATAAGGTGCCACGCGCGCTCACAAACCACGAAAGGCGGGAAAGACAAACTTATTTTCTTCTTCAGAATAAAACGCCAAGAAAAAACGCTTAAAAATACGTCAAAATGACCAGTAAAGCTCAATATTTGGTTTTATTCCTATTGACGATACGGTAAGTTATATTTCTGGAATTTTTGGAATGTTTTCGTTGCATTTTTTACAATAAAAGGAGCTCAAGTTTGAACCTCCGTGGCATCATTCATCATACATTTGTTCTAATGCGCTGATGAACTGTTAGTTTGGTTCTTTGTTTGCTTGTTAATTTATTTCCTAATTTCTCTTTCCTTGCATCACCAATAAAACAATTGCTACCCCACACCACGCTTTATTAGTAAACATAATTCAATGACAAGCACTTACTTATATTCATCATACACTTCATGTTTTGGTAGAGTAGAATTATTGTCACACTCTTCAAGATGACAGCGAATCCTGCACACAGAAAGAATTTTAAAATGTTGATATGTAACTTGAATGCTGATTAGCTGCCTACCATTTTATTATGAAAGGACAGAGACAAACTCGTAAACATTTTGGTGTGGGGGGGGGGGGGGATTTTCTTGGTATCTCATACAATAAATTTGACCCCCTTTCTCTTGTTGTAAAAGAGCTGTAAGACTTGAATTATTTTTTGCGCTCCCCTCTTGAGGATGATTTCTTTAATAACCCCCCCCCCCCCAACTCCTGCCCCCACAGTAAAAAATAAACATGCAGTCCTTAAGCTTGCTTCCCTCATGCTGCTCAGCTTCAAGAATGCTAATGTTACAGCACAGAGACACAATGTTTCATATTTCTACTGAAGTACTTTATATTATAATAATCTTTAACAAATGGGTATTTCATTTACCAATGAAAAGCCTGTGTCTGTTCAGCTCTCGTTGTTGATATGGGTAGTGCTTGATTTCTGGTGAAAAAAGGTGGCAAAAAAACATCAGTGGTTAATAGACACTGGTTTATCTAATGAATAAATATTAAAAAACAAGAAAAATGTGCATCTTTAGAAATGCATGGGGCAGATCTAGGGCAAGGTGCCCAGGATCTCTTCAAATGTACTAATATTAAGCATCCTTGAGAACATATGTTTGTAGGGTAATCTCCCAACCTTAAATTCCACAGAAGATGCATTCCAGTTACATGGTTATTTGTTATCTTGCATTGCAGAACAAAAAGGACCAGACCAGCCTTCTAAAAACAATAATGATATGCTGCCTACTTACTGTTCATATTCATCTTTTAGTTCTGAGCAGGTTTCTCCAGGTAAGCGTAAATATAGTAAAAGTTTTTCGGTGTCAGACAATTGCTGCACTTCTTCCTATAATAAAAACAAGTAATTCAGATCTATACTCCAATACAATAGCATAAAAAGCCCATACCACATTGTTGATTTTAGTATTGAGTAAATATTTATATAGATTTTCGAAAATCTAAAGGATCCTTAATTAAAGGATCTTTTGAAATGCAAGCTGCATCATCTTTAATTTTTGACTTGTCAATCAAAGGTGTTCAAGTATTTGACATTGTTTTTCATTGTGCAATATCAATATCGCTTTTGGTCTTGTTCTAAAATTTTCACACCTTTGACAAACAGTTTGTTCAAAAATTATGAAAAAGCACAAAATATAAACATTGCAGGTAGTAACTATATATAGGAAAATTTGATGAGCCAAAGACTCATTAATATTACTTTCAAAATGAGCTCCTTGACTCTAATCTAGCAAACCACCCTTGAAATATAAAAAAAACTTAGACAAAATTGTGCCAAACCCACACCCCAATACTCTATCCTTAACTGGGCATCCCAAATTAAAATTACTTCCATGCAAAATTTGTAAATTTGAACTAATCACTAAGTTTCTGAAAAGGGACTGTAGGGCATTCATTATAATGTATTGAATATATGGAGGTATTTCACTGTACTTACAAGTATCTTGGTAATCTTGCATTGAATTTCTTCACTGAAAGTCAAAAAGAAAATAAAAATGATGCAGGCATGAAATTCATAAAGTGTTCAAATTTATTACTTAAAACTTCATTTTTTTCAAAAGTAATATAAGCTAATGGTGATGGTGATGGCTTCTGGAGAAAAGCTGAAATATTCAGATAAACATTGTGTCCTGAACTCTTCCTTGAGTGACTAAAGAATTTTTCATATTTAAAAATAAGATGTTTTAGTAAAGATTCACAAGTTCTCTTGGAATATTGGGATATGCCACTCCCTTGTATCAAAATATATAAAATAAAAAATACCAACTTTAATTATATAGCATGTTTGCTAAATATTGAAAAAAAGCTAAATATTTTTAACTTATATCATAAGACAGTTAATCATTTAAGCATGGAGTAGGCATGGTTGATATAGATTTTTCAGTGAGTGATGTACAAAATTAGTTTAAAGCTGAACTTAGGGGTGTACCTATCAATATTGTTGACAACCATTTGTCTAAATGAACCCTTCTTTGGGAATTGGGGGAGGGTTATTTATTCTCATCCATCAAAATCAGACATACAAACATTGAATAGAGATATGCTGTATCACAGTTGTTGAATGAAACAAACACATTGTATTGTATTAAAATTTATGCCAGCAAAATGGTGTAATAGAGCTATACGTGCACAGTTACATGACGTGTATGATCCTTCAAACTTGTAGGATTAAACAAAAACAAGATTTAAAATTTGAATATTGCTCCAAACTATAAAATGTAAGATATTTGGCAGAATTTTTGTTTGTAATGAACAGAATAAGTTGAAGCTAGGCATACAAAATAAAGATACAAGACAATAAAAAGGATTTTGATAAAAATAACTCTATGTTAATTTCGCACTTCATAAAATCATTTTTTCAATAAACCTGTAAATCTGTTAAGCCCATTTAATGTATGACTTGAAAGCACTATACAAAGAGAAATATGTGCACAATATCACATACCCAATAAATTTAGGCATATTTTCTACCTGCACAAATAAAAAAGTACAAATTTTAGCAATAAAACACTCTGACATATATGGGTTTTTGAGTTTACCATAGAGTAGAGAAAAAACTGATTTTGTACATGCGTTTTTAATATATTGTGGTTAGTGAAAGTTGAAATAAACCAGTTCTTCAAGTTTTTCTCACACTAGGCCTGTCCGCAACACATGTTTAAACAAAGGCAAATCCATAATCTATTGAAAAATGACTTTAAGGACAAACATTACTACATCATCTTCTATTGTCTTTAATCAAAACAGTCTCAAAGAATAGCCAGATCCTACTTTTATATTCAAAATCTTAACACCTTTTCAGTAGAGATTGAAATTAGGGTTTTGTAATGTCTAGCCATGATGGAATCACACTGATTTATTCAACTCTCTTTGATGCTATTATACCACATTCTGCTTAATGGGGCACCTAACTACACACTTTAAATGAAAGCAATTTTGAAAATAAAAAGTCATCTCTTTGTGCACATTCTGGTTTTACACAGTTAACCTTGCTCTTAAAGAGAAGCTTAAACTTGCCTAATAACTTTATCACACTTACGTCTGTGTGTCTACTAAAGACTTTATTATATCCTTTAGATGCTCAAAATAAACAATATTTTCAGTGTTACTCAAAGCTAGAAATTACGCTTTGATCCATTTTTTTCTTTAATAAGACTTCTTTATTTTTACACAAACTCTTAAAGAAAAATTATGATTACTTGCCAATAGCTTTTGAAAACTTTTGAGAACTTTCCTTTTTCTCCCTTTCCTTTTAAGAATTTTTTCTCTACTTGTTGATAGTATATTTGACTTTGATTTCAAATTTTAAAAATTGAAAAGCAATGAATCTAATTCACTGACAACAGAAAGGACATTGAAGTTCAAACCCCAAGTAGATTCACAATTGAGCACTTGATTGAATAGGACAAATCCAGACAAAGCCAAATGGTTATTTAGAAGTTTTTAAATAACATAGGGGAAGCACTTTGCAGACCAGAGTATATGATATATCTAATAAACGAACATGTTTTGGTTACATATATCCATACATCAGAGATGTCGAAACTGCTCTTACAAAAACCATTTGCTCTTTCAAAGATCAGTATCCTTTTTTTTACAATTGCAGATCGAAAGAAAAAACAAATTTGCCTGACTAAAAGTTTAAGAGGATATATTTCATTTTTGTTATCGCCTCTACCACAATACGATCTACCAAGATGTGAATTCCATTTAGTTCAGATTTTTCTATGAAAAAAAAAACGCTTTGTTTTTCGCGCTTTTTTTGACCCTACCGCGAAAGTTGGGTCGGCTTTATTTGACAGCGGGAGACAGCCCAACGGCGTGGTTAAACTGCTTTTAAACCAGTATGAGTTCTTTACTATTTTTTATCGAACTGTATTTATAAAGCTTTACAAAGTTTTGAGTCTTGGATGAGTCTTAAGAGAAACAGAAAATAGATCAGTCACTTGGCGTGGCTCTGGAAACTGAAATGCTGTGTTTACTGAGCTAGGTGTTGAAAAGGCGTCTTTAGCAAAAAGGAAAAAAAGGAAAGAATAGCTTAAAGAAATCCAAAGTCAAAATGAATACTGTGAAATAACCAATAGACTGCAACGAAACGAAATTCTTCAAGTAGCACATCGTAACAAGAATGATTCGATCAAAGGAGAAAAAAAAACAATAAAATAAACATTGGTTACAGGTACCAAATAATCTATGGAAAGACTGTAACCTGTGCGAGTCATTGGAAATTCCTTTAGTTCCACGTTATTAAGAAAATGCCAAGCGATTCACCTTAAAAGGTTTCCTATGACGTTGAAAAGCCATTCCAGTGCTCGGAATATAAAAATAAACAAACCTATGGAAATCTATACTCTTCTAGAGCAAGATTCAGCAATGAAATAAGATTCAGTGATGCATGGATGAAGTGTTAACGACGTTGAATTTACTATAATATTTTAAATAAATTAAAAGGATAAAAATAACTGCTAAAAATAAATGAAAGACCACTAGTTCTTGAATCCTAAAGCATAAGATAACATTTTTTCGTGAGAATTTACCAAACCACGTGCAGGTAAACGAATTAACTAATTTCCGGAGCCTTGGAAGTCTGAACTCACATCTGGCTTATTTAGAAACACACATGGCATTTAAAACTGCCAATTCCAGTACATAAAATACTTAACAATTTGTTTAATTGTAGTTCCGATCCGAGGATCGATAAAATCCAGTCTGAGAGATTACTTAAGCACATCGGCCATTATGTTTACAATATGGTCGAGTTCTCGTGTGGAATGTAATTTAAAAATCCAAGAAAAAAATATATAATCTGAAATAATCAATTATCAATGAAGGATTTATTGCATTAAGCGTGTAATAGATGTTGGAGATGAATATTTAAAATATAGAAGAGAAAAAGGTATGGAGAATTTTAATTGAAGCTACAAGCAAACATGCAACAGGTCAATCGTTTGAACAGTAGTCAGCTTTGACAACAAATGTAGAACACGATTCTTTTTTACCTTATATAAGATTCTAACGCATTCTCCAACTCTGGATTTGAATTGTCACTCTCTTCGCTATCCAGGGAATTCATCTGGATGTCGGCAGGGCTCGGAGAGTTTGTCGATGACAAACTCGTCAGAGTTGATTGTGAATTCATGAAGTCGACTTCTTTGGAGCTAGGGCTGCGATCAAGCAGCGTTCTGAACGGAGAATTCGAAGACTGCAGTTCTGCGACCTGCATTGTAATGACTTATTGTAGGATCAGCTGAATTGACTACTGAAACCCTTAAAGTTATGAGGAATACTTAAAAATCATGCCTTATGTATCCTTGCACACCGTTAACACGAACTAATACCTTCAGCCTCAATTGATCCCAAACACATGTGCTGAATTCTAACGCGCCTGCGTGCATATTAATTCGTTTAATTACACTCGGCTCCAAGGTGTTGTAAGCCAATCAGATCGCGTCATTATTTATCACATTACCTCCTTATCGTTTTGAAGTGCACATAGCCATTGTATTCCTAACAATAGTTCGGTAGCAAACGGTACATATTGTTTATTCTAGTTTTCTATGTGTCTGTCTTGGCGTTTAAAAACATATAAAATGGTAAATGAACATTGTATAAGCACCAGTCGGGATCAGGCTGGTAGCATGCGATCTTAAATTCAGTGTATTTTTGTGTAAGATGTGCAGCCTTCAGCTTATTTTTCAAAGTTTCTTCACTTAGTCTTTTAGCGGCTTCTCGTGATTCCCCCAGAGAAGCTAGTCTCACTAGCACATGTTTATGATCCAAAATTTACATTAATTCTATTCCTCCATGATTGTTGTCTAGTATACTGTTTATGTATTATATGTGGAACTGTTTAAGAATAATTTTACTAAATATTCGTCCGTTTCTTTTCCTTTCGTTCTTCTTATTGAGGTTTTATTTTATTTTATTTTATTTTTAATTTTTTTAAATGAGCATTTGACACATGTATGCATATAATTAATTCAAAAATTAAACTTTATTTAAGCTATCAATATCA